CTCTCTCTCTCTCTCCGTCTCTCTTCTCCTCTCCCTGTGTCACTCTCTCGCTTCCGTCTTGGGTGTGCCCTTCCTCGTCATATCGTCATAGCGACAATGTTGCCGGCAAGCGACGGTTGGGGGCAACCGCCGTGTTTCGTCATGTATCATCTATGGTTGAGGTTTGAGGTCTGGTTAGGATGAACAAAGACAAGGCCGTGAAGGAACGCAGCGACTGGATCACCGCCCATCTTGTGGAAAAGTCATGGTAGCAACATAATGAAGCAGAGTTTTTAGGCAAGCGCTTTGTCTCAGAATGAAGTCTCTGAGGAAAGATGAATCCAGAGAAGAGCAGAAGCCTCGGCAAGTCAAGAGGCCAGGTCTCTCCCAAATGCAGAAACTTCCTCAGGCCGAGGCCCACGCCGCTCTCTGGCCGGGAGCCCGGCGAAGCTTGGCGAAACCCGGCCACTTGCGCTTCGAGACTTCGAGGCATCCCCGAGGAGCCCAAGGGCATGGGTGCGCCCCCGAGAGACGGCGACTCCCAACGGTCGAGGGCGCTGCGGCGCTGCTCCTTTTTTTCCACAGCTGGCAGCTCGCAGGTATGCCGGCTTCCTTTGGCGCGCCGCCGAAGGGGCCAGGCAGGGAACTGGCGTTTGAACTACTTTAAACTCGGAAACACTGTTCGAAGCCTGATCTCTGCACACTTAGGTATGCAAATGCCGGCATCGGGTCCTGGCAATAGCCTTAAGTGGGATTTTGCCAACGTTCTCGCCAGCAAAGCCTGAAAGGGGGCAAAGGCACGCTCCATGCATTGCCGAGGCATGGGCATGCCGGGCATGGCAGGAGCGGCGAAGGTACGAGAGACGTTGCTGCGCAGCTGCAAACCAAATTGTCCCGACAGCCCGACATCTGCCTTTGCCGCAGTCCGCGGGCGGCCTCCCTGCAGCGATGATGGCCATGAGAAAGCCGGACGAGGTCGAGCTAGTCGCGTTGACTCGAGTCGCAGAGCAGTGATGTGCCAACATGTGCTGGCACAGGGTCCACCGAAGACGCCTGCACCTCAGCTCTGTGCACAGATCGAGCCGGGTCTGCGCATTACTTGCCCATCTCGAGGATCCCACCCAAGTTCGGCGCACCGAGACCGCCACCCATCCCGGTGAAGTCGGTGCGATGAGGGAGAGGGAGAGTTTGGGCAACTACCGGTGGTTCGTGCATACAAGGGTGTGAACTATTTCGCAACCGGTTGTAACGCTTGAAGGAGCTTCCGCCAGTTGCGTGTTCCCGATCATCAATAGGGTTGGGGGGAGAACCCCACTTCGCTACTCCTCCAACTGAGACCGCCCTCCCAAGATGAAAACAGTGTAAGTGTTGAGACTGTGTGCACATCTGTGCACATCGATCTTATCCCACACAGGTAAGACACATGCATGGCCGTAGTGCAGACTTAGTCGTGTGACGGAGTTTCATCTTGCTTTCGGTGTGTGTTCTCTGAGTGGCCGCCTGTGGAACGGCAGGGACACGCTGCAGACGCAACATTGTAACATGGTTGATCCTGCGAGCAGTCACTCTCCGGTGCCCGCCCTGTGTATGCCTCTGAAAGGTTGAAATGCCTCCTTCGTCCCTTCCAGCTGTCTTGGCCACCTCACAATTTTGCGTAATGGCGTAGTGTTTCGTATTCTGGCACTACCTAAGCAGATAGCTTCCAACAAGGCACAGTCACCTTACTTTGCTCCTGTTGGCAGGGCATGCCTCTGCCGCCACCGAGTGGGCAGCCGTGGGGAGCCCGAGCAGAACCACGATCAGTCGGAGCGTCGGTAGCAGAAGTCAGCAGCTGCATATAGTCGGTGGAGAAGGTTCTTGCCACATGTCGGCTTTGCACAGAAGCCTTACTGTTGAAAGCTTGACTTGCAGGGTAGCGAGCATTGCTCGACAGATCAACCTGTCCAGCAGCTCATTAACAAGCGAAGCACGACTTGTGTCGGTTGAGGCAAGCATCGTCGCTACAAGTGTTCCCAAGAACCCTCGAAGTTCTGGCGTTCTGGTCTCGCAAACAGCCCCTGCAGGCTCCAGGTTTCGTGCTTGTCACTTTGGTTTTCTTCTGGGGTTGCTCTAGGTAAACAGACATGAGATGGTTGGGACGAAATTCGAGGCAATCGAGGTAACAAAAAAACACCGAACGCGACTGCGACTTCTGTGATCGACAGTGACTGCTCGCCTCTCTACTGCTTCTGCTTCTGCGCTGGCACTGTCATTTAGCACGGCTTGTATAGATGTGAGTTTATGATGGCTAAAGGTAACGGTTACCTACTGCCACTGCAGTTTGACGTCACAGACTCCGTCCTGCTATCTGGTACGGAAGCTGCACCCACGTTCAGAAGACAAACAAGGACACCCAAAAAAGGCAAGCCGCGTTTGAGCCGTTCTCAGGTTCCCACCCAAGCCTGGCTCAATGGCGATGATTCCAGCGAAAAGTGTCTGTCACCTAGATGTGGATGTGTATAGACATCATGTCCGGGACTTGCCTTCGGGCTTTGGTCATAAACGACAGGGATGAGAGCAGTGGGCCTTTACACAATCTGACGCAGCATATTGGAGTATGGACGGGTTCGGTGATGCTCTGACTCTCGCTGTCAGGGTGGCGGTCCGATGCCTTGCTTTAACACCGGACCTGGGCACCGCTCTCAGAGGACAGGCGCCAGGAAGTGACAGAACTGATCATTAAGTCAACGTCGCATGACGACAAGGTGCATCCTTGTCGGTCTGAGTCTTGTCACAAGAGAGAGGAGTTCTCTTATGTGTCTTTTATGGCATGCGTCAGGTGAGGGATCCGCGACACTGGAGAGACCGAAGGAATGAAAGGATGGGTGCATAGTGCAAAGCAGGAAGCAAGGTTCTGCTTCGTCTTAGTGGCAAAGAAAAGGAGGAGAGGCATTGCGATTTTTTGATTTTATTGCTTTGCTACTGCCCCTTCTGCTGCTCACAAATCCCCTTTTCATGTTGCAGACGGACGCGTCTGACAAGAAGTAAACACGAATCACCACCGGTGCTTCGTTGCGTTGTGGTAAATTTCCTTTCAACTTTTGGCAATCAGCAACGAACGATGCTGCACCGGACAAGGCAAACACGCGCACCTTCGGAAGAGTGCCACGGCAACCCATCACTGTCCCATTCTGTTGAAAACAGAACGATGTTTTGCTGCATTTGGACAGAGGCCTGGGCTCGGCATGCCACCGTTCCAGCCTCGAGCTAGGCAGCTAGAAGATTGTTTGCAGAGCTTGCATCGAACTTGCTACCAGTAGTAGTCAAGACTCGTTTGTATGGATTTGCCGGGGGGGCAGCAGGAGGCCGGATCTTGCAGCGAGTGTTTGCGCGCAGCAGGTTGCACCAGAACCCCCGCCGACTGAGGAAGGCGCCCGGAGACAACAAAGATGATGACGATGACTCCAGCGACGACTCTAGCGACGACGATGGCGCCGGCCCGAACCCGATGATGATGTTAATGATGCTGAGCCTCGGTTGCATTCAGTTAAACCACTCCATCGCATGGTGTTTGCTTAAACACGTGCATCGTATTCCTACTTTCGCGTGGGTCGCGAGTGTAGACAGGCCTGTCTGAATTGACTTTTTTGCGGACGTTCACCTCTGAGGAAACAAATGCAAACCGCCGTGATGTCGAACATGGACAAGGACCGGCGATTGCAAAGCCTTTGGCGCATGCAGCATTGTTGGATGCCACCAAGGCAAAAGCAACATCATGGCTGTTTAGAAGCGCTCATGTCAAGCCACTGCCTGGACCAGGCGCCACCAGAGATGCAAGAGCAGCAGAAGATGCTCTTAAACATGCAGCAGCAGTTCGAGGCGATCCAACGCAGCTTTGACTGCCTCCCTGCGCATCGTCGGTCAGCAAATGATTGCCCGTGCAGTCAACGCTCATGTCGAAGATGGGCATGGAGCCGTGCTCTCAACTAGACGGAGTGCCTAGAGAAGACAACTATGCATGACTGTCAGAAGCAGTCAGATCACGCTCGCGAGGTCCGGTGGCTCTGCGTGACATCCTCGGCACACGGTTGTGCATTGAAAGGTTGCTAGGCCCGTGTTGCCTTGTGGACTGAGGCCTTCGGACATGCCCATGTTCCCACCACCTGGAATGGGTGGCGGGTGCGGCGGGTGCGGAGGCTGTGGCGGGCCCTGTGGACCGCCAGGAGGTTGCGGAGGCTGCGGCGGCTGCGGTGGGTGCGGTGGTCCGCCCGGCGGCTGTGGAGGGTGCGGAGGGTGTGGTGGGCCGTGTGGCCCGCCGGGCGGCTGTGGGGGCTGCGGTGGACCGTGTGGACCACCTGGTGGCTGTGGAGGTTGCGGCGGCTGCGGCGGCTGCGGTGCTTTGGTTGCATCTGCAACACTACCCGCTAAACTCACTAAACCTTGAAGCCTTGATCGCAAGAGAGCCTGTCGCGCGCTGTGCTGAGTGGAAAGTGGCGCCAAATTTTGGCATGTCAGGTGACAAGCCTCGGCAGGACCCGACCCAGTGTCTGAAGTTCAAGATGCAATGTTAGAGTGCTGAGTCACTGCCAGGAATTCATGGAAGGCAGTAGTGAGCACGTGTCAGGTCGATCTGTTGCGTCAGCACCGGCATTTTATCCTCCCGCTGCAAGGACGGTGGCAAGTCTTCGTTGCCTGCTGCCTTGGCAAACAAGCACAGAGCCGAGAGTTTTAGGAGCTTCATCTTCAAAATACATTCTGTCGGCTCTTCTTGGATGATGTCGCAGAAAAAGCATCGGTTTCGTATCGTGTTGTACTGAGTGTACTGAGGCAGAAGATGGATGCCTCCAGCAACTTAATGAGCGTCGCCTCTTCCGCGTCAGCCAATGCCCCAAATGCGCTGGCCTGAGAGTTGAGTCGGAGGAAGCCAGGCCAATGTCTCAAGCTGAGCCAGACACTGCCTTAGTCCGAGCACCTCTGCAAGGCATTTACAGTGCTTGTAGCAAGAGCCGGTGATGTCTCGCATGGTAGCTGAACTGTCTGCGAGGCGATGATGCCTTCAAGCATGGCCCGGGCCTCTGTGACGACTGGTGACCATGCCACGACCACTTCTTGCACTACTGTACGTTATTGTATTTATATGTAATATGTAGTATGATTGCGTGGCGCAGAGCCTCGCTTGCTTTGAGAGCCTCTCTGGGCAGGGGCTGCCCGCCGCCCAGGCCATGGCAGCTGCAGGGGCCTTGGGAGACATATAGCTGGTTTCGCTTGGGCGTGTCTCTGTGTTCGGAGGCTGGAGCTACTCCGGAGATGCTTCAGATGATGCAGCAGATGATGGGTATGAACTCAGGCGCGCCAATGTACAGAGATTCTCTGAGCCATCCCGACATTCACAGCATCCGCCCACACAACTGGGCGGTGGTTTTGTTTTCATGCGACTGTCACGCATGCAGGTTGCAACGGCCCCACACTTCTAATGTTGTCTGTCCCTTCGCTAAAGCTACTTTTGGGTTGCGTTTTCCCATGAGACTGACTCTTGAGCGATGTGCTTGCTGCCTTCAATTGCTGATGATCCGTCGGGATGCATGAATAAGTTTGTTTTGGCATGCACTGTTGTCATGATGCTCGAGGGACTCGAACAAGTCAGGTCATGGGGCAGTTTGGGTCTTCGCATGAGGGAACTCGAGGTTCGGATCGACGGAGTCTGTGCATCAGGGGGCAAAAAAATCCGTTAAGCTGAGTAAGTGGAAGAAGGCGTTAGGCAATAGTTTGTTATTTTCTCCCGAAAGCAAGCTCTTCAGCTTGCGGGAGGAAGCCTTCCGGCTAACTAGGCATTCTGGGGTCTGGTAACTCGAGAGTTCACAGCATTTCCGTGGCAGCACGCGGCGCATCTGTTGAAATCCACAATGGATCGCTGTTGCAGCAGTACGGAAATGTAGCTTCCCCCCACTGCGGCGAGGAGCCCCGTGTATTGGAGGTTACAAACGAATCGTGCCGTTCGGAGGAAGCGGACATGCTGTAAACAGCGCGTGAGGATTCCCCGTGCAGAGGGCGAAGGAGTTGCGCGTCTTGGAATTTACAATGGACCGTGCCGCTCGCACGACACACCGAGATTTTCGAGACGCAGATGGTGCATCTATTGTAATTTACGATGGATTGTGCAGGACCAAGAGTACGCAAGTTAGACTAGGACCATATCAAAGAAAGAAAAGAAAGAACAATAACGTGAAATAATCTCGTCCGAAGCACCTGGGCTGGCAAGCGTCATTGCCGGTCCCAGCGCACATGCATAGGAGAGCTGCGCGACCTATCTGGCAGGCATTACAGTAGAGAGGAAAGTCTCTAATGCCACTTGATTGTTTTGGACACCCTCAGCCCATCTAAGTTGGGGCCACGCGTACCAGCAGGTGGCTATGTCGACCCTTCGCAGAAAGGCGCCGTCAGGAGCTTATGGATGCTTTGGCCCCGCCATGCCTCGCCTCCGAGACGCTGATTCGGCATGCAGCAGAAACTCATTGCAGCTATTGGCACGGTTGTAGTTTTGTGAGGTGGAGGCGCAACAGGAGGCTTTGGCCAATGCAGCGAGGGAGCTGCAGGCTGCACAGGCGGGAGCGCACAGTTCGCTCACGATTTGTCATCCAATGTCTTCATCTTTCATCCCCGGGCTCAGCATGCATTCTTGGTGGACAGTGTGGGGATTCCCTGCCTCTTGCACCGAAGGAAGCTGCAGCAGCGCAGCAAGCTGCCGAGAGCCTAGCAGGACTTGAGCCAATCACTTCCTGATCTGCCTGGATGAAGTTCCTGGCAATTCCGCAACGCGTAGTTGAGGCCTTGGAATCCATGTCACCAGAGCAACGAGATGCTGTGTTGGCTGCCATGTCTGCTGCCAGCGAGGAGGGCTTGCATTTCTTTGCTGTCTTTCTCAAACGCAGATTGCAAGTTATGCAGTTATGCTTGCCATTTCTCCACTTTGTTGCCACGCCTCGTGCGTATGATGCAGGCCCAGCAGGCTCAGCAGTCCCAGTTCTATGAGGCGGGAGCAGTGCAGCTGCCTTGCGCAAGACCTCCCCACTCCCCTCTTGCAGAAAGCTGCAACAGTTGCACGGACGAAAACGACAGAGAACGAGTGAGCAGGAGAGAGTGCTCAGGCCATGAAAGCTCACGAGATGGAGAAGCTGCAGAAGGTGCGCACAACCCTGTCCTGAGCAGAGCCATGGTACAAACCAAGTGTAGTACCATTACGTTAAAGCTTCCATGCTGTGCTCAGAGCGGCTACTACCAGAGCAACCAGCCTGAGCGGTTCAAGGACGGCTACCGACCGCCTGGGGCTCAGAAGCTTCTTTCGAGGCAGCTTTTCCACGGCTGCTATTCATGATCTTCACCCCTATGTACACTCGTTGGAGTGCATGCAGCACGAGAAAGCCGCACTGAAGTCCAACATTGCAGGGTCCGCATTCGGGACACGAGCAGAATAAGAAGCAGCAGCAGCGGAGCAGCGGCAGCAGCAATCGCAGCTGTCTCCGGATCATGGGCACATTGCCTGTACTGACGACAGCTGCAAACTTCATGGTATGTGACTTTCATTGGTTGCCAAGGAAGTCACCAAAACACAGTATGATATGTATCGTGGTGCATGCGAACTAGATGCAACCCAGCATTTCCAAGAGCATGGCTTCGAAAGTTGTGACCACCACTGTCCAACTTTGACGGGAGTTTGGGAGCTCTTAGTCTTCCAACTTAAAATGGTAGAGAGTGGATGCCAGCGCCACTCAGCAAGCTCTGTATGCTCAGCCTGCTAGGCTGCGCATGTGCAAGCACTACAAGACGGACCAGTGCTGGCGAGGGCAAGAGTGCACCTACGCTCACAGCCTCGAGGCTCCGGGGCTTGGACAGCCGTGCTTGCATAGAAGTAGCAGGGCCTGTGACGAGAAACATCGCCGCTTGCGGTTGAGTAAAGATTCATGCTTGTGCACCCCAATGCATGCAACGATCTTCATCTCGAGTGGAGATTGCTTGTTCTGGCCATTTCGACAATCTCTGCTGGCCTAAAAAATCATGGGTTTTGATGGAAGTGTGGGACTCCTGAAGCTGAAAGCTGCAGGAACTTCATCCGGCCTCGCCGGACCTCCCGCGGGTGGAGGCACTGCACGGAGATGGCCTTGAAGCTTCGTAAGATCGTCCCTGGGCAGCGTGGCTGCAGGTGAAGGAAACGAATGCCTTGGCCGAGCAGCAGAAGGCACTCCGATCGGCCTGTTGACCCTGGCAATGCGCTTTAAGATGCAGCGATGCATGGAAGCCCGAAGCACAGAAAGGCGTGGAAGCCGCATGGTGTGCAGCAGCACACCATGTCAGTTGAGACAGCCAGGTGGAAGACAGCGCCCCGGATGTCCGACTGAAGAAGAAGAAGGAGCTTTGCAAAACAAACAAAGTACAGAGAAGAAAGACGGAATTGGAAGTGCAAATGACATAAAGCATCTAACAGTAAGTCAGCAAATAATACAGCACATGTATGCATAAGCACACAGCACACGGGTAATCAACAGCAATTTATCAATCTAAGTACCCACCTGCCTGACTGTCTACCAGTTGCTTCTGTGCTATTCATGCATGTATGTGGGAACCGGCATATCGCCGCATGCAAGTGCCTCGAACAAAAGTTTGGGTGTACGTAATTACATACTTCACAGATAGCTGTCGGTCTGTCTGTCTGTCTGTCTGTCTGTCTGTCTGTCTGTCTGCATGCATGCATGCATGCATGCATGCTATGTATGTATGTGCGCTTATTGAACAGAGTAAGTTGTAAGGACATGCCAATCCAGGCGGCAATATCAGTTAACTTATAATCTCCGGTGAATGGCAAGCGAATCTATGGCTTTCTCGAAATCTCTTAATCTTTCAGTTCTAACCAGCTATGATTCAGCTTGTCTCTTATTTTCACTTGATTAAAATGGTATCTGCCTTTTGCTTAACTTGAACTTGTTTGAAGACTCGCTTAACAGATGCTGATCGCGACATGAGCAATGTATCCCCCTGTCCCAAAGACATGCTCGAAACCACACCAGTGATCCAACATAGCCTGACGCCATCAATTTCGTTGAGTCGGGGGCTAGGTGACCCATATCATCAATCTAAAGACCCCCCCACCCGAAATTGTTCAAGAGTCAGGACCATGACTCTGCGTTGCTCCTTCCCCAAACATACAAAATTCAAAACGTGGGCACATGAGGGGGTGAACATATATAGATAGAGAAATACATAAATCAATAAACCGCTGTCTTTGTATGTATGTATATACATAGCTTACATAGCAGTGCTCATCTGTGACTACACTTAAGTCTTTCATGCAAAGCCTTCACTCTCTTCTTCGGTTTTGGGGAACACGGTCTTGGTCATCGGGTCATCTTGCACTCACTACAAGATGTCCTGCAAGCTGCACAAGTATGCATACAAGCATGCATGCTTGTGTTTTGTGATAATGACGGTATGCTCCTTTTGATTTGCAGGCTCTCAGCAATCTGGACGCTCAAAAGCAACAGACAGTTGTCCTGCCGAAATCCTGAAAAAGATCTGTCGATTCCTGGATGGGTTTCTTCCCTGCCTGCCTGCCAGGAGCTGTGCAACAAGTGGAAGAATGGTCAAGATTGCGTGCTCGGAAGAGCTTGTTCTGGACTAAGTGGCTACGCCTGCTAGGCTGTCGTCGGAGGGATGTCTTGGAAAGCACCTGTCGCTTCTACGTTAGTTTACTTTAGCTGCAATCGGTGTTTATCATTGTTTATCATCGGAGAGTCTTCCCTGGGTTTGAGTTTGTTTGCCGGACCGAGGTCCCTATGCTCACGGAGAGAAGGAGCTGGGAACAGTGGAGCTTGTGGTCTCAGCCTCAACTGTGTTCGAGTGAGAGGGAGGCTGGATGTGGATCCGATTGCTTTCCATGCTGTTTGCAAACGTCGCCAACTGAGGTCTGTGGGCGCGTGAAGACAAGAATCTGCAAGTTCTGGACGGCCTCGCGCTCAGACAGTCGCGGATTCTTTCGCTGCCCATGAGAACTAGCCAAGATTCGTCATCCCAGTTCATCCGTTCATTGATGCTGATGTCTCCGATGACTGTTGCCTGCAGACGGGAAGCTGCATGTTCCTCGGCAATTGCGTCAACGCGCATGGCGAGAAGGAGCTCGGCACGAAGAGGCTGGACGTTGGCACAGACTGAGAGTTAGAGGCATTCCGGTGCTTTTTAATGCATCTGCGCACTGCCGTCTCTGTAGGGTTCCGCAGGCGCAGTCGGACCGGGGGCCTTCTGTATGTTTCGAGCCACCAGGCCTGACTTCATGACGCCTCCCATGAAGAAGCGAAGGGAAGGAGAGTTTGAAGCTCAGCTGTTGTTTTCCCATCGTTTTCTGGCCCACTTCCGGGCTCTGTAAGGTCCATTGACGAGTTCCGAGAGCAAGTCATCGCCAAAAAGGGCGGCAAGGGCAAGGGAAGGCGAGTGGTCTCTCTGATGGGCATGCTGAAGAAATTCTCATCATGCCTGTGCTGATGGTTGCAGGGGGCTCGGCAACCACTGAGAGGGTTTTGCGACCGCGAAGAGAGCTTTCTCCGACTGGAGGGCATTCTGACAAATTACGTCCAGGTGCCCACCACGGATGCGGAAACCTACTTAGGCGGTCACTAGCCAGATGTCTCAAAAGCCAAATTGAAGGCATTGCCTTGAGAAGCGACTGGTAGCAGAAACTCGTCAAAGCAAAGTAACGCTACGCTTGAAGCCTTGGCAGCGGCACCCGGTCAGAGCAGCGGCTCACAGGCCTTAGCAACATGAAATTCCCAAAGCACTCTTCTCACATGGTTTTTGGCTCTGCTCCAAATGGTTGTGATATGACATGAGGTCGCGCGTCTTCTGCCGAGTGCTGCTGCGAATACTTGTAACACGTGAGCTTGGACTCATACAGGACACTCCTAAAAGATCCTGAATCAGGATTGCTCCGGCACCGGTAGACTTGCATCCTGCGCGTGGCATCGAACAACGACAACACCAGTGACGTTGTGTTTTGGCACTGCGTTTATGCTATCCAGTGGCTGTACAGTTATGTCAGTTATGTGTTGCTTCATCGACGATCTGCAGCTGCGAGTATTCACCCTGGCTGTTCGGACTCTCAGTCAGGTTGGCATCGAAGCCTGTAGGGAGTTTTGTAGAGAGAGGCCACGCAGCGATGGAAGGACGGTCAGTTTCAGAGTTTCATCGCTAGGCTCGCAGCTCAAGCCGTGGGAGGTGGGCAATGAAGGCCGTAGGGAAGGGAAAGCTGGAAAGGCCGCTTTCGGTCCACCTCCGAGAGGCAAGAGTCACCTTAGAAGCGAACACCACGCAGGTGACAAGAGAAGAGCAATGCGCTGCAATGGAGCGGTACCCCCAAACACTTAAGCCCATAGCCATAGCCACTTCCCTCCATATCCACAGACAGAGCTTTGCACTGAGTGGTGCGGGTCTCACCAACGCCGGACGCTGGAAAGCCCCGCGGTGAGGGGGCGCTTTTGGGAGCGCAGAAGAATAAAGAGTTGGTGTGTTGCGGCTCGAATCGTCGAAACAGCTTGGCCCGATCTGACAGAAGGCCTGGATCCATACGTAATTTGAGGAGGTTGTAGCGTGCGAATCTGATGACACCAATAGTCGGAATAGTCGGATGGACAAGCGCGAACACCCCCAAGCCTAAACCCGAAAACCTGAAGCCCTAAATGCGTGTGAAACCCAGCACCTCATCGCTGTTTTGGGACAGGCCGGGCGTCGGTGACCCCGGTGGGGAGAAGCCCTTGGCTCGAGAGGCCTGGGATCGATTAACAGAGCTTAGATCAACATCAATAGCGAGAGTGGGCAGCGAAGGAGTAGGATAAAGAAAAATGAAAGAACAATGATGAGAGTGGTATTAATGTGAACAGCGGAGAGAACACTGAGAGTAGTAACGACAAGAGTCAGAGTGACACTCGTAAAGATTGCAAGCATAGACACAGCTGAGAAGCCTCCCAGCTCTCAGTATTCCAGCTTCTTCGTAAACATCGGCTGAATGCAACTCACACGGCCAAAGCCACCTAAGACACGATTCCACAAGGACAAGAAACAAGTTGCTCGTGGTGCCGGTGCAGGTAGCCACCGCTTCTCGGGCAAACTCTGCAAGCCCACGTTTCTCGTTGTGGCCCCGATGACCGGCAACGATGAGAGGCCTTTTGACTCGGTGTTCGACTCAGGCCCTTTCGCTTCGGCGCCTCCATCGTGCGGCAGCAGCGGGCAACGTCCCAAGAGCCAAGACATGCCAAGACCAGATTGTGGCGGCTTCCTGCAGTTCCTTCGACCAGGGCTTAGGTCAATTTGGACTCTGTCGCAGCGAGCTTCCCAGCCTGGGACTTGTAGACTGAAGTCCCCAGGGGACCGCTGGCAGCTACTACGACGCCTCGCGGCAATGGGCCCAGCAATTGGCGGAGACGCGTTTTTTTTTTTTTTTTTTTTNNTGTTTTTTTTTTTTTTGCTCGCGCATTTCGTACTGCCCTCGCAAGTAAGTCTGAGATCTGAGGTCCACAAACCACAATGCCATAATGGCTTCCAAGTGAACGGACACTGGCGTTAGTAATGAGCGGCCTGCCCGTAGATTCATCGAGGCACCGGGCCGTGAAACGCAGTCAGCAAAGCGCCAAGGCCGCACACTGCCGAACCCACCGAGTCGAGCAAGAAGCTCAGAGGTTGGAGTTCTGAAGCCTCGAGTCCCGTCGCCACTCCCTTCCTGTGACGTATATGCTCCAGTGTCCACGCTCCAGAGCCATGCCCTGAAGCTCAGGCAGCAGAGGCCAGCAGAACTCCAACTCTTTGCAGTCCTACTCCTCTTCGCAGCTGAGACCACAGACAGCGAAGGTGCAGGGCAGTGACGGGCTAGCTGAGTCTACCAATGCGAGTTGCCGTCAGCCGGAGAGGGGGTGAATTCTGCAGTCCCTTCTCTCTGGGCGTCGCCTGATGTTTCCTCTTTCCACATTGACATCGACTCTCCGCTTACCGGAGGCATCCGGCTCCCGGAAGAGCTCCAAGTCGGTTGGTTCTTCAGGCACGGCATCCCAACGCGTTTGTAGGGCAGATCATGGGTGTCAGAGTTTCTGCCTGACTCCCGGCCGCCGGCCTGGCGTTCGTTTGGATTTAACTTTCCATTTTCCCATCCTTTTGCTTGCGTTCTTTACAGTGAGTATGGATACAAAGCAAAGGCATGTCAAAAAAGGTTCAATGAATTTACGCAGATACAGACATCCGTGCATCTGCTGGCCTGTGCGACGCAGCTGCAGTAGAACATCTGGGCTGCAAGTGCCTGGGGCCCGCTAAGGTGGGCAAAGATCTTTGGACTCACGAGAGCCGGTCTCAGTTGCGGGCTTCTGCTCTTCAGAGATCATGGTTTGAGGGTTCTCATGTGCAAGATCCACGTGAGAAGATGGCTCCCATTGTGCAGCTGTTCCCAGTGCTTTGCCCACAGCCTGTTTTGGGGGACTTGTATTCGCCCTGTGGCAAGGTTTATGTCGAGCCACCGCCCATCGAGCTTATCCCACCGTATGTGCCGATCAGCAGCGGGGCATAGTGACGCCCAATCAGCGCAGACCGAGCCCCGAAGAGTGGTTGATTGACTCATATTCTGTAGGTTGAGAATGAGAGATGTAAGGTTTCCGCGGTTCTCCTCTGTCGAAAATGCCGCTGCTTTTTCTGCGTGGTCATCCAAGAAGGATCAAGAAGGCTCTTTTTAAACACGCAAGCTTGTCCACATCTCTTTAAGAGTGGAGTGGGGGAGTGTGAGGTTTCACTCTGCGTGAGGCCGCTTGACATCCCGCGCGGCTAGGAACACTCTGTTTGAAAAATCTTGTTCTTGCAGGCAGCAATTAGCAGAACTGCTTTGGGAGATGGTCCAATTTGCACTGTTGTCTGCGAGTTTTCGCCGGTCAGCTCGGCTAGCAAAATGGCCCATGCAAAGCCATGCAAAGGCGGTACGAGTTGTTGAAGTGGACCATCGTTCCAATGCACTCACTGGTCCTTTGGAAGACCGACATACTGAGACGGGGCTGTTGGCATTTAGTCAGCCCCCACTTCTACGGTCAAGCTGACATTACCGCGGAGTTTGAACGTTGCTACATCCAAGCGAAACTTGGTTTGCACGAGCTAGCTGATGAACTCGCTTCGACATGTCAATGTGGCGTTGTTTCCAATCGTGGCTGCATTGACCGTGCGTGGGTGGATCTTGCCGCAACTTCTATAGGAGTTTCGGCCCTATACCAAAGCCAGAGACTCTCATCGCACTTGACCATGCAGCCAAGCCGCATCGGAGACCATCGACTAGAATCGGACCAGAAGGAAAAGTGGCGGTCAAAGGCTGATGCGTGCCTGTGAGCATCTCCAGGACAAACTTCCTAGAGTCCCTGACATGGTGGAAGTGTTGAAAGCATCTGCGCAGGTGGCCCGTCTACGGGGGCGCGAGGCAACGCTGGTGCAACAGCTCCAGCAGGCCGAGTGTCGGCCGGATGGGTGCGATGTCTAATAGCCAGGTGTCTCTTGCTCCACAGACGATGTGCTTTGAGATCTTTTCAGGCCATTGTTCCGCTCCCTGCGGAAGTTCCACCGCCCGAGCTGAAGAAGCAAGGCCCGCGGGGCGCTCCGCGCGGTGCATCGGGAATCGGGCTCGATGAGAGCTAGCTTTGTAGCTTGACGAGGCTCGTCTCAGTAGGATCTGCGCACACCGCTTCATGATCAGCCTTTTGCTGACCGATGTGCATTGTGATTGTGGCTCGAGCCTACGCGCCCTGTGCCCTGCGAAGCCACCGGTGCGGCGGTAGGGTTCCTTGATTTGCTTTGATAACTCTCTAGCTCTCTCTCTCTCTCTCTCTCTCTCTCTCTGTCTCTCTTTCTTATGCGGCATGGACAACGTCGCTGCATGAACGGAGTCGAGGGTTGGCAGCATCTTCCGAATGCTCGAGCAAGCTGCAGCTACAGGTCCTGACCGTGCGCATGCGTGGCTGTGGCGGCTGACTCGCTTGTGCTTCAAACGACTGAACTCATGCTGCTGAGCATCAGTTGGGTTTCCTGTGATCTCGCATGTTCCTGACCTGTCTTACTTTAAGTCGTCATCTTCTGTGAGCCCGCAACCATGCCAGGCTGGGGGGGCCCAGGCTCGTCAGAGCTTGAGCTTGAAGGGGTTTAAGGGTTCATGGCTTTATGCCACGTCGTCCCGCCCCCTGGCTTGTTGAGGTCAAGCTTGCCTGTTTCTGTGAGCTGCTCGCATTCCGCGCTGGGAGGTGTGGGATAGGCTGTGTACTCCAATGAAGTCAACTGAGCCTGCGCCCAAGACCGCAAGATGTCAGAACCGCGCTTGGATAGCAGCTGCGCTGAGCAAGGCCACCTCCAGACGGTCCAAGGCCCTCAGAAGCCGAAGTCGAGGCCACAGCTGAATCCGTGCACCTAAGTAATCCGCAAGCCCCAGCTTTGGAGCTTCGTGAGGAGGTGGGCGATGCACCGCAGGCCTGCGACATCCGCGACTGAAATGTGAATTCCCGTGAGAGCATCTGATGGTTTTTCTCACGACAGGATTTGTAGTACCCGCCAGTAGCAGAGCAGATCCTGGCAGCGGTGTGCCGGAGCTGAAGGCGCACGAGCGGA